TGCATCCATGTGGTGTTTGTCATCTCTCATAAAGTCGGAAAATGTGTGACTTTACTTACCATGTGTTTGTCAGAAGCTGGATCAATGACAATATCCACTAACATATGTAAACAACGAATGCCAGAACTATATTATTTACATCGAGAGATCCTCCTCAGTCCTCATTGTTTACAAGTGGATGGCTGTTTGTGTCCAAATGATGGCAAACGGGGAATTTCCTATTTCACGAGGATCACCTGAACGCACCACAAGCCAAGCGCCAGCGGAATGTAACACGTTGTTCAGTTCACCTTCACCAGAGAGGCAGGACAGCGAACAAGAAGTGCAGTTAAGGTAACGTTAGTAACTGAACGTAGGAATAAAAGTCAATAGGCATATGTAACATATTAGTGCTTTCAATTTATTAAGTATTAGTACATTCATTGGTTAACTGTTAGCTGAATTAGCTAAGATAGCTAGCTAACTACGAAGCACGTGTTGCTAGCTAACCTTAACCTCACTAATGGGGTATGTAAAAATTAAGCTAGCTAACGTTAACTACTCTCAGATAAATACACTGTCTGTAAGGAACACAAAATTAGCCGACGTTAATATCATACGTTTTCTTTTGGTATTCAGTAATTGTATCTGTTAAAAGCTAGCAGTTAGTTAAAAACGCAAAGGGTGGTGGTAGACTAGCTAACGTCGACCTAGCTAGTTCATAGTGAATCACAGCAATTTTACAATTTAGTGTCTGATGCCTTTTTAATGTGATTTTTTTTGGGGTTGACTTTTAAAATGACAGTGGCCGTCTTTTCCTGTAAATTACAGAATGCTTCTTCATGGTGAGATGGATAGATTTGATGACACAACTGTGTCACTCTTAAAAGGTAAATCTCTTGTTAATTATTTAGACATCTAACATCTGTTTGCTGTTTTCTCTGTATCAAAGTTCTATTGATTTTTACACTCAGGTTTTGGTAGAGATGGGCCGAATTCTAGAGGCAGGCAACAAGAACTTCACTGACCAGATCAAAGCCAGATGGGAAAGCTTTTGCATACATGCGCTGTTCTTTGGAGTGTGGAACAAGTCTTTGAAGCCACCAATGGGTCTGGATACATGTAAGCATAATGTATAGATAACACTGATGTTTTATAGGTTGGGGGTGACCATTTCATGGCCGCATGGGATGTGATTGTATTAGCTTATTTTCATTATTTTGATAGGACAGGATCTCCTTTTTGATGACTGAATTATGGCAAAATGGTAGTTATAAGGTAGTAGTGGTCACTAGAGGGTTTAAACACTACTACCTTATGTCATGTATACAGGTGACCCTTATTGTTTTGCTTTCCCTTGTGCAACTGACAAGTGCTTTTTATAATCCCCTGCAGTGAAAGTGTCAGGGATATTATAAATTCACCCCAACCGCTGCCCCCCCACTATCCAGCCAAACTTTCAGTTTGCTGATCCAATAACTGCAATCGTTTTTATTTCACTCTTTCATTTCGCTGTGCACATTCAATATCCCTAGGAGAACCGTTTGATTTTGGTGATCCCACGCTCTCTGTCTTAGCGCAACATTCAGGCCAATTAAAAAAAAAAGTAGCACCAGTTTATGTACAATTTCCCAAGGTGACATTAAGATTCATGTCGCTTCAGGGATACTGTCGTTCACCAACAGCATAGTTTTTCCATGATTATCTTATACTCCCTTGGGCTCTGCACAGAACTATTTTTTTGCTTTTGTGCTTACTTTTCAGTTACACAACACTTAATGTCAAAGTCAAATTGCCTAACAAAAACAAGCACAATGCATTTGATCATGTATCCATGTTGTTTTTCAGCTGGACAAAGCGATTGCTTTGATGAAGGCACTTCCCTCAATGTTTCCTTCCCCAACTGCCCCACCCAAAAAGCTTGGGTCAGCAAGTGAGGCACTGTTCCATGTTCTTGAGGTGAGTCTGAGTCAGTATCAGTTAAACTGAAATAAAACTTGATATTCCTTGAGGTTTAATTTGTTTCTACTTTTTGTCTCTACTTTGTTGCTCTCAGCCATCCGAGGACCCCAATACGTTTCTCCAGAAACGGCCCATCACCAGTCCAGTCATCCTAGACTCTACTAACCTCCTCCTGGCTGTTGGCAAAATCCCACTGATGACCCTACCTAGGGAAATGATGCACGAGGCTCCACTCATCCTGATGGGGTGTTTTTACACCTTCCACCTCACCTACCCCAAATGTGTTGCTACTCTCCTATCCGTCATCCAGACTGAGGTACTGAAGGACAGTATTCACGAGCGTGACCTTACTCATTCATACAAAAAAGCAATAGCTGAATGGGCAGAATTCACAAACAAGTAGAGAACTTGAATTCTGTGTCCAATGTTTGTAAGTTCTATGAGGATATATACATGTTGAAGAGCTTTGTTCATTTAATAAATGATCCTGTTTGTTATGGACTGACTTAATAAAAACGTGTTTTTTGAAAGAATTGTCATGTTTACTTATTTTAAGAGCATGTGTTCTAATTTATCTCCCTAAAAACAAGAATTTCATTACATGTAACTTGTTATCGCTTTTATCCAAAGTGACTTACATACTCAATACTGTGGTGTCTTCAGGGACACAACGACATGCTGACTGCAGTGGGGTTTGAACCTATGCTCCCCTGATCCCAACGCACTACCCACTGCGCCACACGTCTCCCTAAATCTCATTTTAAGTCATTTGATGCTAAAAGTACCCTAGTTTTGAGTGATAATAGGCTTATTTTGCATTAAACAGGCTTAACTAGATTGCTTGAAATTAGTCTTTTTAATCTTATTTTAAGATTGTATGTGCTATAATGATAGTCGGACAGCCTGACTTGTTTTAAGACATCTTATCAAGTGAAATTTGCTTACTGCACTGGCAGCCAAATGTGCTTGTTTTAAGTGCAAGCATGCTTATATCTAGAACGTTCGGCCTTAAATTTGACAGGGCGTTTTTGCAGTGCGCTAGTGGATTGTCAACGGAGGGAGCCTCGCTGCGGGGAGATTATACAGATGGCCAGTCCGCCCCTGAAAAATGTCTATGCACACGTTATTATTAATAATAATAAAAAAAAAAAATGGATTAAAAAAAATTCTATTTCTTTTTTAAATTATCTTTAATTTTCAATTTTTATTTTGTAATCGTCTCGCGACCCCTTACTTTGGGAACCCCTGCTCTAGAAGGCAGTGTTTGGGCAGCACAGGGAATTCACAACAGGCCTCTTTGTCAACTCTGCTGGTGGCGCCAAAGGAAAAGTCAGGAGATTACCAAAAGTGGTTTGGATTATTCCTCTTGGCACTAACGACATCTGTACCATATTTCATGGCTTTTACATGTGATGGTGTTGAGATGTGTCACCCACAACTGTCAACGCCCAAGGGAAAACGTACACAAAGCCACTGGAAACCATGAATGTCTGTACACATCTTTTTTATAGATATCCAACCAATGTGCTTAGCCTGCAGTTGTCTTTCCATTGAATTTGTATGTGTTTAATCTTCCACCAAAATGCCTCCTATTCAGTCTAAACACACAATTGTAATTCATCCGGTAAAAGAAAGACATGTCTAACACATGTAACATAATAAATTACATTTAGAGCGCCATGTATGTAGAGTTAGAATAAAAAAGACAACATTATCATCTTGTTGTGATTTGACCATTTTGCGAAGTGTAGGTTGAGGGAACTTTTGTAATGTACACATTTGGGTATTTATCTAACACATTTCTCAATAGTTCAATGCTTAGGGACAATCTTAATTACATATATTGCACTTCAGCATCTTAAAAAGGTGAAATGATTAGTGTGTCTCCCCTGTTGCAATCATAATCAACATTTAAAAGGAAATGCCACGACACTGATCTCTTTGGGCACAGCAGTCACAACTGTCAAAGCTGAGTGGGTCATAACACCCTGTCCTCCATCCGCACAAGTATTCTCAGCATCTCTGTGAGAAGCATCGCAAAAACATACGCGTCATCAAACAAAGCACTACTCTGTAAGGCGTATGAAGAGTACATCAATAAGAGGCTGGGGTGTTCAAATTGCTTCAACGGAACATGGATGAGAGACAAACTGATGAGCATGAACTCTCCTGGTAATCACGCCTTCAAAACAACTAATTGATGTGTAGTGTATTCATGCTAGCTTGCCTGTGAGTACCAGTCCATTTCCCAGTTTCACATTGATGGCAAGAGGAAAGGCACAGCAGGAAATGGGACGTTTCTATACCTAAAAGTCTAGCCAGAAGTAAAGGCTTTCTGGTCTGTTTGACACAACGCATTGTGAAAAATGTCTACTAAAGACCAATTACTTCATTCAAAAAGTCAGCATAGATGTTAGCCATTGATGATCAAGGACTGCCACCAATTGGAGGCATTCCTTCCCTGATGCAGATATGCAATCTATTAATCCTACAAACAAACACATGTGCCATATATCTAGTAAACACAGGGTATCATATGACTGCGGGGTATATATAAATAATCTCACACCTGTGTCAATATAGGATTTAGTCAGAGTAGTTATTTATCAGCAGCAGCAGACAGTAAAGGTAGCTCAACATTATTTTCTCTATGCGCACCAATGAATCACCAGTAACTCACTGTTTGTGTTGAAGCAGGTGATAAATCATTGGAAAAATAGTGCATTTTCCATTGATATGCATTACTTCTACAGTATAAGACCTGAATTATAAAGAAGTCTAGTGTACCCAGGAATAAAGTCCAGTTACAAACCCGATTAACGCTTGCATTTTCTATTAACTTTAACCCTGATCTTTTCCTAACTATAAGCATCGGTTTTAGTTCAAGTCAGGTCGATATTTATTTGTGTATCATCAAAACCCTTAGAGGACTAACCTTAACCCTAATGTCACGGTCATCAAACCGCCATTTGTTCTATTGATTGGGGCTAAACATAGAGGTTATTGATGACAATTTGGTGAAGCAAAATAAGTGTTAAAGGAGCTTCTTCCACAAATACCTTGATTCCTTTATGTGTAAGGTGTAAGTTTGTTTCTTAGCAGCAGTCATCAAAGCCGTACTCATGCAGCTCGAGGCCTTCTGGCTCAGAGGCCCATGGACAGCTGCCAGATAGGTCCAGTTCAAGGTCTCTGCTTGGTGGTTCTTCACAGCTAACAAAAAACACAACAATAACAAAGAATGTATGCATCAATGAAAAATATTGGTATTGGTGAAACCTATAATTATGACCTGGTTAGACCTAACCCTAACCCCTCAGGGAACAGCAGAACATAATAAATATATATATTTTGCCAGGTCCATTGTATAGATAGTCCCCTTGACTACATCAAGGCCATAGTCAACAGTCTCTAGTTAATTGAGGCCACAGGCAAGCAAACAATCCATGAACAGAGTCCAATTATAGACCTATCAGCATCCTCCCCTGTGTCTCTAAGATACCTGAGGAATGGGTGTCAAATCAGCAAACATTTAGATAAAGGTTTCGCTCCACTCCACCCAATGCAGTTTGGTTTTCGTGCTCACCACTCCACTGAGACAGCTAACTGTGTCTTTGTGGAAAAGGTTAAATGTATGTTTGACACAAGCCCATATGTAGGTGCTGTCTTCCTTGATCTCAGGAAGGTATTTGACACCGTTGACCACCAAGTGCTCATTACAAAGCTGACTTGTTTCAATGTTTCGGCATATTCAATACATTGGTTCAAGTCTTACATATCGAACAGTGTGTTTTGGTCAATGGTGCCAAATCCCCCTACCTTATCAACCCTGTTGGAGTTCCACAAGGTTCCATTCTTGGACCGTTACTTTTTTCACTCTACATTAATGACTTGCCTAATGTATGTCCTGAGTTGAATGTGCAAATGTATGCCGATGATGCGGTCAGCTTTATACACGAGAAAAATACTAAAATAATCTCATCTTGTCTCTGTAATGCATTGGACAAGGTTCAACACTGGCTGAACAACATTTGCTTACAGTTAAACGTAAAAAAAACAGTATGCATGATGCTCAGTAAACGACCAGTCAAAATCGAAGGATCCAACGTGTTTTTAAACGGAAATTAGACCCTTCTTAACTGTCAATGCTGCAAAGTCATACCTCCACTGTATGATTCTATCCCACATTGCATACTGTTTTACAAACTGCCCCCCCTCCCTTAGGGGAATTCATCCACAAAAAAAACACTGGACGCTGCACTAGGTCAGAAACTAGAGGAGACTGTGAAGTCCACCGTAGACGGACCACTTTTGGACAAAATGTACTTTCCATTAAAGGCAGCTCATTGTGGAATAGCCTACGAACTGAGATATGGGATTGTCCCACTCTCAATAGTTTTAAAGGTCAACTCAAAGAATGGTTGAGAAACAAACTGACGTGCAATCACCGCTAAATGCACTTTAACACAGGGGTATCTCCTCTTGCACTTTATGTAGCACTTTTATCTTCTCTTGCACTTTATATGTCGTTGCTGCTATATTGTATTACCATGTGGTAAATACTTGTGTGTGCTGCTCTTGCTATTTTGCACTTTTTGCATATCATGTATTTGTTTTTGCTATGTTTGTAAAATGTCATGTTCTTAAATTCTTTATGGGAAAGTAGCTCAAAGCTAAAATCCGGCATATTTACGCTTGACGCATTTTTAGTTGTAAGTGTTCATTAATGTCCCTGCCAAATAAACGATTAAAGAAATTAAAATAAAAAAAGATTAAAATCCTTGATATTGAATTCATTATTCACCCATCCATCTACGATTAACTGTATACACTTTTATCAAATACAATAAAAGAGAAAAACAAAGTATGGATATCATTTCAGATCACAGAGCAGCTAATTTTTCATTTGTTATTTGTGTCCCTTGTTGCTATTTAGAAAAAACATTTCACAACTCATATGTTTAATCAATCATTTTTGTAGTCAATAAAAAAACAACTGAAATCATCAATTACAAGTCCCAGGCTTAAAGTCAAGCGACTTTGATTCCTATAAAAATTATTGAAATACTGTATTGAAAAAATGCAGGTTTGATATCCAGAATATTGTTGTTTTTTATCCGTCATGATGGTAAACAACCAGTTTTAGTAGTTGGTGACATGCACCTTAAAAACGTTGGTTTACAGTACGCCATAAAACTAGAAAAATAAGAAGTCCTAGAAAAGCGCTATAAAAATAGGACTTATTATTTATTATTAATAAGTCAACACGTTTTGAAAACCACCTGATTAACACAAAAATAATACAGTGATATTTACATGTGGTGCAGGTTTCTGCTGATTCTAAAACAGAAATTAGTTTTTTGAATCGTGTGTGAATTAGGGAAGTCCATCTCCATCACTGAGGCCGATACGATGTACATCTCGATACGCTGCCAACGACACGATACATTAACGATACCTTTGAAACACCAGGCGATGCGATACGATTCACCCCTGTTGCGATACAGTTCAATACGATTTGATTCAACATTATGCGATACGGGGCGATACGATGTGATTCAACACGATGCAAAATAATGATACAATTAAATTTGGTACGACAGAGGATTTTTGTTTTATTCCTCAAATGCAGCATATCATACATTAACTGTTACATTCCCTCTTTGCTAGGGGTAAAAAGGGGAAACGACACGACCAGTTTGTAATTGGTATTGGTTACCGGTGGGTTTATTTATGACTGCAAGTAAGCAAAATGATTAGATTAGATTAGAATATTTAATGACCACACAGCCAGGCTGGTGGAATTCGTGTTCAGTGCAGAGTATTACAGCTTGTTCCATACAATTCAACATACAATAAACAGACAATAAAAAGTACAACACACAGCACAGGGCAAAGACATATAACATAAAGTTCAAGGTGTGGTGGATTGTTATTGTTCATTGGGGTTATTTAGAGTCCATTTAGTGTCCGTATTGCAAAGGGGAAAAAGCTGTTTTTGAAGCGGGCGGTTTTGGCGGACAGTGACCTGTAGCGCCTCCCTGAGGGCAGAAGTTGGAAGACATGGTGACCTGGGTGGGAGGGGTCAGAAATGATTTTCTTTGCCCTTGTGACAGTTCGTTGGTGGTGAAGTGATTCAAGTGATGGAAGGGGACTGCAGGTGATTTTTGATGCTTTATTGATGATACGTTGAAGTTTATTCCGGGAGAGGTTGTCTGAACTGCTGTACCAGACTGTGATGGATGATGTGAGGATGCTTTGGATGATGGCTGTGTAGAACTGGATTAGGAGATGTTTCCTCACTCTGTATTTCTTGAGCTGCCGCAGAAAGAATAGCCTTTGGTTGGCTTTTTTATAGATGTGGTCTGTGTTGGTCTTCCATTTGAGGTTATTGCTTATGTGAGTGCCAAGACATTTGAGTGATTCTGTGGTGGAAATGAGTTTGCCAGAGATAGATAGAGGTGATTTGGGCTGTGGCTTTCGCCTGAAGTCGATGATTATTTATTGGGTTTTTGCTGTGTTAAGTAGGAGGTTGTTTTCTGAGCACAAACAGCTTGGCCCAACAACGGGTCAAGCTGTCACTATCTAACAAAAGGGGTCTCCAAAAGAGAGTTGCCCCGCTATACAAAAGGAAAGAAAATCTCACTTCTAAAGTGGAAACAAAACAATAACAAAACGGGACTGTGTGGAAACACAGCTGTTGCTGATCAACCGGTGCTAATCACCGGGGTCTAAGCAATATACACAAATACTGATCTACAGGCGCTAAGCTAACCTGGGTCTAAGCTGTTTCACAATGTCACTAATCTAAATGCGGGTCTACAGGAGCCAAGCAACCTGGATCTACGCAACACACACACACAAACCCTACACTAAACACAGAATACCACGACACACTGCTAACCAGTGTGCTCGCACAGAACCCTACAGAATACACACTGCTAGTCAGTCTACAGAAGCACAGAATACACACTGCTAGTCAGTCTACAGAAGCACAGAATACACACTGCTAGTCAGTCTACAGAAGCACAGGATGAGGGCTTTGTCACAAGTAGAGGGTTGAGGCATCTGTCACAAAATACAGGGCCTCCAGACGGATGTTCGTGCCCAGCCTTTATCCTCCTCCCCCGGATGACGTGGCAGCAGCGGGCAGGGCTTGAGTGAAGTCTGTCCAATCCCCGCGAATGTTGCGAGGTCGGGACGGCCACTCACAGCATCAGAAGGCACAGCTCATTTGCATACACACAGTTAAAGGCACAAGGTAGCAGCGGCTGTAACATTAACAAAAAAGTGATTTACATATTTGGTTCTCTCTACTAGTACTGCACATCCCAGTATGCTGTTTCTTTTTTACCTTAAACCAAACAAACACTTGGACCTTTCACAAACTGGCCTTTCACTGAATGCAAGTAGCTTATGTTGTTATGAGATGATGATGTGAATTACTGTTCAAAATAATCGTTTGGTTATTTTATGCATAGCCTAATGTTACATTTCTGTGCTTAAGAATGCCTTCAAGACAGAGGAGACTGAAGCAGAGAGAGAGATATCTGAAGGAGGCAGCTAAAAGGACTGCAACTTTGCAGAGCTGGATAAAAGGTGCCAGCAGGGCATCTGCAGGTGAAGCACTGTGAGATTATGTCAAGCAACTACATAAATTGGAGTACACTAATAACTCATTAAAACAAATATTTAAATCAGTGATAAATGCAAAGCCTCTATCTGTGCTGAGTGAAGTAAATATTTCTCTGTTGGGGGCTAACCCCAAGCCTCCAGTTCAGAGCGCATTTGAGAGCTTGGTGATCTTGTAAAATACTACTAATAGCTGTAGTATAATATGGATAATATGGCCAGATAACTGGTTCACAAAGGCTTTACAACAGGTTGTAAATATTCTATACAAGTAGGCAACATATGTATTTTCACATGAATGACTAGATATAACCTTCTCCAATCTAAAATGAAACTGACTGCACTAGTATTCAGTTGTCTTTGTATGTTTTTATAGCAGTAAAGAATGAAGTGTATATGTTACTTAATTCTGATTCTAATAATTCTGTTTAAGAATACGAATTTATGTAAAATGTTTATTTTGGACGAGACAGCTCCATCTTTGAACTCCTTTATAGTGTGAAAAGGAGATCACCACAGTAATAATGCTTTCATTAGTTGAACACTTCGCAACAATGCCTTATAAAGAGCTCTAAAACATT